TTCATTAAATGGATTCATTTTGTCGCATGACTTGACTATCACATGTCATACAAGAGCAGGTTACTTAATCCAATTAGCAATGAAAAAGGAGATATATATATCCCATTATTTTATGTAAACAATATTACTGTAATTAGAAACTTTTTTGTTCCTAAATGCACTTTTACATAGATAACATTGGCACAATTATTTTTTTGTATTAAAATTCACAAAATAAGAATAAGAACACAGTAATAACATATCCATTGTAAAAGTACTTAATAATTATCAAATTGATATATATTTTTAATAATATGTTTTTTTTTAAATACGTTAGTGCTATTTTTCTATGTAGTAAGCGATTATGTTTTACAAGACTGACCATACTTAAAAAATAGAAAAGCTTATAAATTGAAGTTTTTTAATAGTTGTTATTTCAATGAAGAAATAATTTTATCAATTCTTAAAGATAAAAATGTTTTCCAATAATTGATTTGTTTTTCGACACCTGAACGAGGAATTAAAATTGTTTCCAATAATCATGTTTTGAATATATAACTAATATATTTTATTATTCTTATCCAAAAGAAATAAATTTAACATGATACAGAAAAATATTTTCTTTTTCTATAATGAAATAGATATTTATGTAGAAATTTCTTTAAGGAACCGACTAAATCAATACAAATCACAGCATATCACTTTTAGTCTTCATCACGAAACATGTCCTCCAGTTTTTATTGACAATAAACAGATTCCCACAAACAGGTACCGTTTACTACGTTAGTCTGACATTTGCCCAAAAAGTTACACGGGATCCAAACATCACGAAAAACAAAAAAATAAAATAAAAAAAATAAGACTTCTAAATTCACTTCTTTGCAAACACTCAAAATTAAAACTTAGTTTTAATTAAAAAAAGTTAAAAAAAAAAAAAAATGATGAAATGTAAAACAAATCGTAAGTAAACAAGAAAAAAATACGAGATTTGATTCATAAAAAAAATTAATTTTCATGAAAAATTATGAAATCCATTAATAGTTTAATACATCCATATATATATAAATATGAGCTCTTCTAATAGAAAGTTTTGAGATTGTATAATTATTTCATGCATATTGTTTATTTTAAATTTGAAATAGATTTCAATATATAAATATCCGTAATAAGCTAAAATTAATTTAAAATAATGGTTAAAAATTAATATGAATGAGATAATGGTACAATTAATATAAATCAAGTTGAGTTCTTGTCTCAACATTCGAACGATAGCCCTGATGATAATGCACGTATTTGGGTTGAAACGTCGGCTAACCCAATAAATATTATCTTGAGTGAAATTCCTGACAATTTTGTTTCATACTCTTAATCTCTTTGTAGTTTTTAATTATAGTTGACAAAATATTATACAAATTTTACATGCAACCACCAGAGCAATTTGATAACAGAATAACAATTGCAATACTTTCTATTTAATGACAATTCAAAAGATAAAATGTGAAAAATATAAACCATTTAAACTCATAAAATACTGTAAAGAAATTTTGAAACTTACGTAAAAAGTATAGGCCGATCCAGTCATGGGGAGAAGGAGCTTCGACGGACCAACTGACCTGTACGAGACAAGCGAGCGGTTCCCTCTGAACAGACAGGAGTTCTGCCTTGAGCCAACTCCAGCCCGCACGAGCGACCGCTCCCTGGTTTACATACAGGCAGTCGGCCCCCTCAGCTCGCGCTCCCGCTTCTTCTTCCTCCTCCTCCTCCTCCTCTTCATTCTCCCTCCGCAGCTCTCCATTCCTGGTATCCACAGTGAACAGCTTCACTACCTAAAATAAATTTAATTATGAAATGGGATATCATAATTTCACCTTAAATGTTTCTCTAAATTTGTGACAGATGATTTGAAACATGATTTAATTTCATTTGATTAAATATTTTTACTGTCATAAAATTTTAATTTCTTCTTCTCAGTAGTGTGTTTGGTCGGAAATTTTCTTGTATCACTGGTATAGTTGGCAAATATAACTTCATTTTGATTCAGTTTATTTTATTTTCTCAAATTTTGTTCAACGTTCTGGGGAATATTATTCTTATCATCATAAACATATATTATTTTCAGTTGCTGGCCCATCTTTTCAATTGTAGGACTATAATTACTGATACATTTTTACACATATACATATCTATCTATCTATCTATAAATATATATATATATATATATATATATATATATATATATATATATATATATATATATATATATATACACATATTATTTTTATTTTATTACACAAGTTAGTTTGAACAATTTCCTTTTTTTTGCATTGCTCCTTTTGTCAATTGTATTAAAATAAGTACAAAATAAGTACAAAATAAGTCCTTGAATAATTGACACAGACCAGAGGCTCATACTTATAAATGTTTCTGATCATGGGACGAACATTTCCTGAAATTTTAAACAGAATGTAATAAAAATATCAACAATAATTAAAAGGAAGTTATTTTTTCCAATTACACCATTGAATTTCTTCATTAAAAGTTTGAATTCAACACGAAAATACTGTACTGAAGAAAAATTGTTAGCAATAAAATACTTAAATATCACAAACCTTGATCAATATATTTACTTAATTACTGAAATATTTTAGTTATTTAATGATTAGTTGATTATACATAACCTCTAAATAAACTAATTAAATCATGAATGTTTCATGAGTTAATACAATATTATTTGGAAAGAATCAATACATGATTTAAATTTCTACATTCATATAATTCTGACCAAGGTGTGTTGAATGATAAATAATTTATAATTTATTTCTTGAAGAAGCCAATAACTTTTAATGATATTCCCCGTATTAATAAAAATATGAAAAAAACAAGGTTTATTCTGAAGATGGTTTCAAGAATAATACATTAACTATTATTTTTGTAATATTTAGCCCAATAAAAAAAAAGTCACAGTAGAAATAGAAAAAATTTAATAACTAAGCATAAAACAACTAGTTGGAGACAATATGGAAAAAATGTTACCTAAATGGTAGTAAATATAAATCATATTCATTACATGAGTTTTTAAAAAAAACAATTTAAAACAAGTGCAAATAAAAAAATATACATCACTGACATAAGATAAAAAATAAACTTATGACATTGAAATTTAACTGACAATATGTTAATGACAATTATTTTTTATAAAAAGAAATTACTATTAAATACATTCTTCCAATTACAACCAAGGCTCATAAAAGTTTTGGCTCAAAAAAAGACACTGCCACTTGTATTGAAAACTCCTATGAAATAAGACTTAAAGACTTACTTTTACAAACTTCTACAATAAATCAAATATTAACATACATTACTGGAAAATTAAAATGTTCTGCTTACTTTTATTTAAAAAAACAAATCAATTAGAAATTATAAGGGTAAATTTTTCATAAAATTAAGTCATTTTAACTTAATATTTAACAAAAAATTAAAAAAACATGAGTCCTGTTTAAAATATCAAAAAACAATTTTTTTTTCAAATCATAATTATTTTTTATTTTGCTTTCTATTTTTTTTTTAAGTTTAAATTAATTTAATTTTCTTCTTTTTTAAGAAAGCTATAATAAGCCAAAATCTGATCTAAATAGTTTGATATAGACACATTTTTACAAGAAAATGGCATTAAAAAGTTCATAAAAATTAAAACAGCCTTTGACATACAAGAAAAAAAAAATCATTAGCACAAGCTCAACAAAATAATTGAATAATTCAGTGGTACTCTATTTTATATATCTGTTTCAGCAACAAATTTTTTATTTCAGAATAAGTTAACAGAATTTTTAATTTTCAACATTCAAAACTAATAATAATTCCTGAATTTTTAAACTTAAAAATGCCTAAATTTTCCATGATTCTGGAATTGAGCATATGATTTGTATTTTCTAATTCAAGCAGTAACTTTTTCATCCAAAACTAAAAGGGGGATGAATTTAACAAATTTTCTGAATGTTCATACAATAAGTTTATCAAAATTTAAATTTTATTTACAAATACAATCAGTACACTCACAAATGAGCTTAATCAATAAAAATATTTTGAAAAATTGAGTGTGAGTAGCATTACAGTTACGTGGCTTGAAAAATTCATCGAATACTGTTCACCAAATTGAAAAAAAAAGAACAATGAGATATTCCATAATTTATTGGTACCTATAATTTAACATAATAGACAGATTGTTGCCAAATTCAAGAATATATAGCTAAAATGCCATAAATGAGGGTAGTATAAAACTAGGGTAATGATTCAAGTTAAGTGGACATGACATACATTCCATTACAAATTCATTAAATGAGAAAATTTAAATTGTTCTAAAGCAAAATTGATTTGCAGCATTTGTGCATCCAAAAATCTCATAGAAAATTTGTATAATCATTGGGAAAAAAAGAGAAGCTGTGGGGAGACAAACTAATTATGTACCTTGTCAACATCAACACCAAATCCATTGGCATTATTATCGGTTTCACTATAAAACACTCGTTAATTTATACGATTATTTAGTATTTGAGTTTTTAACTTAAATTCACAACCTAAGGATTATCAGTTCAATCCAAACTATCCAGTTTGACAGGTGACAAGACACAACCTGAGACTCTACTGGACTCTAAACAAAGCAGTGTTGCCTTCTATCTGTGAAGTTTGTAAATAAAAAAAAATCAGTAAAATCCAAAAGATTCAAGGCTCAATGAAATGTCGTCTAAATTTATTTAAAAATTTAACTTAAAACAGGAAATAACATTATTTTTTTAAATTATGCATTGAAAGATTTTATGTTTCGCATTATAAAAATAAACGGCCCATTGCACTGTTTTTATGCTCCAGACTCTTTCTACATAATGGACATCTCTATAAAGATATTTTTTCTCTAAAACTAATGTGCCATGAAAGAATAATTTGTGGAGTGGTGATATAATTATGACGTTACGCTTTCGTGTCTCGCCCTCAATTCCAGCTGATAGCTAAGATCGGAGTCTAGTGTTTTGAACCTCAGCGTAGTAGGTACGTTGTGGTTAGGCAGTAGGAATGAGTCATTCTTAAACAGTTCAATTATGATCTTTTGTTAATTGTTCCTGATTTATTAAACGTAAAAATGGTAGCCTCTGCTTTATTTCAAGAATGCCTTCAAGACTCCCCCAAATTCAGGTATTTACTAAAATGTTATGACAAGTAGACAATACATAATCTATAATTTTCATCTATGTAAAAAAAAACTTTTTCACTGCATTTTAAATTTGTATGCTTAGTACATCTTGACATTTACAGGTCTCAGTTAGCACAAGAAGAGAGCCAAATAGAAATTTTAGAACATAAATTGGAAAAAGTAATTATTTTTTTTAAAGGAATTGTTTAAATCTTAGTTTGATCTTATTTACATATTTTGGATAAATTTTGGTAGGTTCTCAAAGCTTGCGGAACTATGTTGGATAGTGGAAAAACATTTACAACTCACCAAACAATTTTTACAAACAGCTTATGGGAACTTAGCTCTTCCTTTCGAGACGTTCCAGAAACTGCATCACATTTGAATAAAATAATACAAGGACTTCAAGAAATGAATAAATTTCAATCAATTCTGTTGGATCAAGCATCTCGGACCGTTCTGAAGAATATGACAAACTTTATTAAAGAGTAATTGGCATATTTCTTTAATATGAAAACTTATTCATGTATATATATTTTTTACAATGAGATGTATTCCATTTAGAGACATAAAAGGAGTTTGGGAATCGAGACAGCATTTTGACAAGATATCAGGTGATTTAGACATTGCCCTTTCTCGACATTCTCAAGTGCCGAAGACAAAACCTGTAGAAATAGAACAGACCAACGGAATACTTCAAGCTACTGTTACTTGTTTTAGGTATTCATCAATTATTTACTTTAGAATGTAATGTAATAATGGAATGTAAAACAAACTAATCATTAAAGTTTATTTTCTGTTATGCAGACATACAGTGTTGGATCACGTTTATACAGTTAGTATGTTACAAGCAAGAAAGAAACAAGAAGTGCTTGGAACCGTACGTACAATTCATTTTTGTTTTCATTAAAAATAATTTTCAGTGCTGTTTTTATATTTTATTCTTCTTTTTAGTTGCTTTCGTACATGCAGGCCTGTAATACGTATTTCCATCAGGGATATGATCTTTGTGAAGGAATGCAATCATTCTTAAGAAGCTTGGACGATGAGGTGTGTATCATCTTCTTATTTGTTCCTGTCTAGGTTTAACTTAGTATTCAAACCCTTATCACACTGATATGAGTCACCTGTGAGCTAAATGTGCCAACAATACCTTTTATCTGTCCCAAATGTTTTCTTGTTATAGAGATATTTATAGAAGGGTTTGTAAATTATTTGAATTTTTTTTAGGATTTAGTATTTAAATAAATTAATTTCATCTCTGAAATTTATATTAATTTTTCTTTTTATTCACTCAGATTGTACAAATGAGAACAGATACATCGAAACTAGAAAAAACCCTTGGAGAACGCCATTCTCTTGTTACCCTTTCCGATAAAGCTTCTAACGATACTATTGTACAAGGTTATTTGTTTAAGAGGACTTCAAATGCTTTTAAGACATGGCATCGCCGTTGGTTTTGCATAAAAAATAATCAGTTAGTTTATCGGAAAAGAACAGGTAAATATAGCGTATTGTTTTCATAATTACTATGTATTTTCTATTCATTATTGTATGTATGAATATTGTTTGATGTAAATATATTGGAATATAAAAATAATGGAATATAAATTAATAATTCAGATATAGTATATATTACTAAAAAGAAAAGAAAGTAGTATGTAATAAAAACTACAGTAAAAGAAATTTTAACTTTAAATAGTTCTTCGCTACTCATTATTTATTTCTTATTATTGCAATTGTTAATAAAGGAATATGTAGTGATTTTTTAAATTTTATTTTTCTTTATATTTGGGAAGGATAGTAATGTTCCAAAGTAGAATTCAGTTATATTCAGTGATATCAAAATTTATTTAGAGACCTAAATATTGATTTGTGCCACACAATTTAGAATGCTTTGATTATTTTATTTTTATTTGAATAATTATTAATCTACACACAGATTTAACTTATTAAATTCATATATTTTGTTTGATATTTAGAGATTATCAATCAATATATCTGTGTTTAACTTTACATCTCAAGTTATACTTCGGGAAAAATAAATGTTTTAATTTTTTTTCTCTTATGTAAAATTCATATCTTCCCTGATTGAATGAACTTATATGTATTAATTTCTCATTAAGATAAGATATTTTAAGTATTTATTTATTTTTTATTAAATTCGTAAAGTGAGATACTAGAATATAAATAAAAACACTAAGTAGCTTATTTATGTTTATATCTATATTCCTAAGACAAAGTTTCATTTACTTATTCATGAACATAATAACTGTTTCCTGTTGATAAATTTGTGAGGCTTTTTTAAGTACGTGAATTCTATTTCCTTTACAAAATTAATCTTTATTATTCTATCACAGAGTTTAAACAGGTTGAGTTAATTTGTATTAGTAGAATTATTAATTAGTAATATTTAATATACATCAAAAATAATATTTATAAAGATTATCTACGATGCTTATTATGTTTTGTTTTATAATTTATGCAAATATTTATGTTTAACATTAATTCATTCATTAGATAATTTTCATTTATGAAGGTGAAGAACATTATACTGTGATGGAAGAAGATCTGAAATTATGCTCGGTCAGGCCTTCAGCAGATTCTGAGAGGCGGTTTTGTTTTGAAGTTATCTCTCCTTCCAGGTATGTTCTTTCTTTTTTTGTTGATGTTTGTAAATCGCCTTATCAATATGTTTTCACTTTTTATTCAAATATTTATTTTATAAAAATTTCTCTTATTTCTCTGGTTTGAATCATGAAGAAGAATCAACTCCTTTTTTCAATTTACACAGTTTCATTTCTACACAGAAAATCAAATTTTTTTTATTATGTAATAATCAAAAGTATGTAATAAAATAGTCAGTTATTTTTTTCATAAAAAAATTCCGTACAACAAAATAAATTAAAAAAGAAAAAAAAAACTTTTCTTAAATGTTTACAGAAATTAAAAATTTCTTATCTGAAATATTCAGAGTGAAAAAGAATTCGAAAGCATTTCAATAAACTAATTTAGATAGATAGATATTTGGACAGCTTCTTTCGAAAACAACATACAAACAAAATATAATTATGCAATTGTATTAAACTCGGTAGTTACCATAAGAAATAAATATTTTGGTTAAATAAAATTTTTGAATATTTCTTTGTAAATGATTTTTTAAAAAATTATTTTAATGAATTATAGTTTCTGTGCATAAATTTGTGAATGGATTGAATATAATCCTTAGTTATAAGGATGACTAAATTGGCATTTCTTAAACAAACAATTGCTTATTTTTACCAGATCAGCGATTAAAAAAAAATAGACTATTTTATTATTGTTATTTAATTTTGTAATGTTTCAGATTTTATTGACATTAAAAGTGGTTCATGGAAAAGTTTTTTGGGAATGAAATTAAATGAAGTCAAATAAAATGATAAGTGCACTGACAATACGGTCTAAGATGATATTGATACTGTTCATTAAAAATTCATCTTTCTCTTCTAAACTTAAAAAAAAAAAATATTTAAATGCTTATAATGTTTTAAAAATGGTGGTTATATTTCCAATAATAACTAGGACAAATAAAACATCTTTAAAGTTTTTTATGCACATATATTAGTTAGAGAAATCTTAAGCTCTACTCTAATGTGACTAGCAAAGCTGTGTTGTTTTTTTTATCCTTTTAACCATTTTGCTATTTTGTTTAATAGAAATGAAAACTTAATCAAAACATTATATGTCTCCATTTTTAATAATTGTAAAGTAAAAAAAAGGATGATATTATATATATATTGTTGTCAACTTAAGACTGTTTTCCTCATGGACAAATATATGTTTCCTTATCTAGATAACATTTCGGAGAAAACTAGTACATACTGTATATCAAACGCTTCTATCAAGTTTTTTTTGGCCTTGATATTGTATCTTTAGCCAGAGTTGAGAAGCATTTCACAATCTTTTCAACATTTTTTTCTTGCTTCTTTTGTTTTTCTTAATTAATTTTGAATGTTATTCAATAAACCAGACGAACTCCTTAAGATACTTATCATTACCTGCCAAGTTTGATCCAAATTTAATTTGACTTCAACCGATTGGTGGCAAGACTAATTTTTTCTATCAAATTTTTATAAAAATCATTAATATTGATTGTTTTTAAATATATTTTTATAGGAGTCATATGCTCCAGGCTGATTCCGAAGAAATGTATAACCAATGGATCGTGGCGTTGCAGCAAGGAATCGGTAATGCATTGCAGTTGGTCATCCATAATTCTGATAGTGATAAGAAATTGTCTTCCGTTGACAAGAGCAACAACAACAAGCGATCCAAGTGAGTGAAATCTAATATAATTTGAAGAGAAGTTGGTTAGGGTGGTCAGTCAAACAAATAACAAAGTAAAAATAAGTAAATTGTTTTGTTTGCTAACACTTCGGCCCAAATTTCAGTCCTTCATCAGGTCTGTTCTTACGAAAGATTTATTTGACCGCTCCCTCTGAATAATTCCTTCTCATATTATATCACGGTCGACCATCTCTACACCATTATTATTATCATAATATAAAAATTCATTAATGGTTATTGTAAACTTTTAAGAATTTCTTTAACTGTTCGCAAATGACAATACTGTACTATGTCCCTTCTATCTTCAGCATATAAAGTATTTGGCAATACTCTATTTCACAGATTCTTGTCTTTTGTTGAAGCCCTTAAGGAAAAGGATAATTTCGTAAGCTTATGTTTATGAAAAGCAAAGATACGATAGACCAAATCATCTCTGTGAGAACGATGGTGGAATGAGCCGCTGAGTAGAGTATCCAGACTCACCACCTATATATATGGGCTTCCATGCTGCCTATAACTGAGTTATTCGATAAGAAATATATGATGGAATGATTAATCTCGACATTTCACCTTGTTAGAACAGTGATTGAAAGCCACTCAGATGATTGATTTAAATTTCAGTTGTTTGAAATAAATTCTGTGTTAATTAGTATGTACATATATCAAATATATTTAAATGTTTGTAAATACAATGATTCAGTAAGATGTTACAACATAAAAAAAAAGGAAAACTAACTACGTAATTACATAACTCCGTTCCTTACTTATCAGGCATTCCAGGATGTATGTAATGCGAGATAACAGATATCGTGACGGAATTAAAAACTATATTAATTATTGTTTAAGCAAGGTTTTTCTTCTATATTTATGAAAGTAATAGAAAATAATATTTTCAGTAAAAAATAAAATAAATAAATTTGATGGTCTGCATTTCTATATTATTATCTTACAGCAGTATATAAATATTATGAGTCACTTTTTAATTTTTGTATAAATAGAAACAATAAAAATTTATTCTGCTTCTTAAATTTATGAAAATAACTAATCATAAAAATAATTAGTGAATCAAATGCATAAAAAATGGCCTAACTTACAATTTAAAGAATTAAGTATTGTTATGATTTAAAGAATTAATAATAAATTTATCAATTAATTTCCATTTCAAATGCAAGTAAAGAAAAATATCTGTTATTCATATTCAAATAATCCGCCTCTGGTGATTTTTAGATCAAAATTGTAAATTGTTAATTTTCATTGGATTTTCAGGTTATAATCCAAATATGCAACCTTCCTTGAGGCAAAAATATACCAAAAATATGTTAAAAGTAAAAGTAACTGAGAAAACTTGACATAACATAAAGTAAAAATAAAAACTTAAAGAAAACAAATGATAGAAATAAATAACCTGAAATTTAAAAAAGTAAAAATAAAACAAAAATTAAATTACTAAGTACTTTGATTGCTCTCTGTGAAATCAGAACAAGGGCTTGTAACTTTTTACAATATTAATTGTCAGTTTTTTAAGCCACAAATTTTTACCTACTAGTATTTTATAAATAACTATAATTATAAAACAAAATTATGCACGAAGTTATAATTATTTATTTATTTATTTGTTTTTTATTGTTGCCTCTACCCTGCAGGGTCATTGGCAACACTTCCTATTTATATTCTATTGTAGAATTTTATTTTTTTTAAAAACTGTAAGGTTTTTTCCACGGCGTTTTCGTTGTCGCTGAGGTTTTCTTTTAGGCTCTGAGCCATATTGAGATTTTTCCTTACATTCTCAAATACTGGGCAGTCTTGAATGATGTGTTGGACAGTTCTTTGCACCTTACAGCTTTCGCAGGTCGGTGGGTCTAGTCCTCTTAGTAAGTAGGCATGTGAAAATTCGCAATGCCCAATTCGTAAGCGGCAGAGGACTGTCTCTTCTTTTCTAGATAGTCGGTTGCTAGTTTTCCATTTGGAACAGTGGCTTTTTATTCCTTTTAATTTGGTTTCTTTTTGTTGCCATACGTTCTGCCACATTACCCGCAATTTTTTTTTTATATCATGTATGAAATCTTCTATCGGGATTTCTTTGATTATAACTGTTGGATTTGTATCTAGCCTTCTCGCCATATTTGCTGCTTTGTCTGCCTGTTCATTTCCGACAATTCCGCAGTGTGAAGGAACCCACATGAATACTATTTCCTTTCCCTTTTCTGTCAGTTTCCACCAGATATTTTTAATAGATCTTGCCAGTGTAGTTGTTGGTGTTCTCTTTTCAATGGCCAGGATTGCGCTCTTTGAATCGGTTACCACGACCCATTTGTTACTCTCCGTTGAATCAATGTACGTCAAAGCTTCTCTAATAGCGATCATCTCTCCACTAAATACAGAGCAGATCTCCGGAAGTTTGAAGTACTTTTCTATTTGAGAGTTGACAATAGCACATCCTATTTCGTCGTTTACTTTTGAAGCATCAGTATAAATGATATTACATTTTTTATGCTTCTCCATTATTTCCAGAAATAGGATTTGTGCTTCGATAGGAAGTAGCGTATCTTTTCGAGAACCAGCCATCGAGTTCTCTATAACTGGCGAGGTATGGATCCAAGGGGGGATAATAATGTCCGGCACGTCCAAAAGAGATTCTAACTTTGATTCTGAGACATTTTCAAGAAATGTTTCTACGAAATGCTTTCCCCAGCTGTTATCTGATTCTTCCTGAAACAGTATTTTATTTAGTGTATGTTTTGGGCGTGTCTTAATTTTGAGACCGTACTTTAGGGTTAGATACAACCTTCTCAGATAGAGAGGAGGTTCATCTGCTTCAACATACAGGCTTTCTACTGGTGAGGTTGCCAATGCTCCAGTGCAGATTCTTAAAGCACAATTGTGTACAACATCTAACATCATTAAAGTTTTCTTTGATGCTGTACCGTAAACACTTGAGCCATAATCTAGTTTGCTTTTGATGGTTGTGCAATATATATTTAAGAGGCTTTTTCTATCCGCTCCCCAGTTCGTATGGGATAGACTTTTGAGGAGGGCGATCCTTTTCAGACACTGTTCTTTAAGTATTTTTATGTGCAGTGTCCATCGAAGCGGTCGATCCAAGTGCATCCCTAGATATTTCAGATTATCAACAAATGTGATTCCGACACCTTTCATCTGTATTCTTGGATTGAATGTACAACCTCTTAGCCTGCAAAAGTGCATGGCTCTGGTTTTGTTAGCTGACAGTTTGAAACCACTCTCTGTCGACCATGATTCTATGTTGTCAAGGGCTTCTTGGATTTTCCATTCTATAAATTTAATGGATTTGCTTTGTACATAGAGCAATATGTCGTCTGCGTACATAATAAGTTTTGCTGGTCTAACAAAAACCCCTGCTATGTCGTTTATCGCGACCTGGAAGAGGGTTGCACTGAGTGGGGAGCCTTGGGGAGTACCATTCTCCGTCGTGTATACTGTAGATTCTGAAGAACCAACCCTAACAGTGAATGTTCTATGCTTGAGAAAATCCTTAATGTATTTCCACATCTTCCCTTCAATATTCCATCTTCTTAGCACGTCCAAGACTCGCCATCTCCACATGGTATCGTAAGCTTTTTCAATATCTAAGAATATAGCAATGAGATGTTGTTTCCTTTGAAAAGCTTCTTCCGCGTCCCATTTTAGTATTTGTATTGGGTCCATAGTGGAATGGTGTTCTCTAAAACCAAATTGGTTCGGCGTGAGGAGTTTTCTCTGTTTTATTATTTCAGCAAGTCTCTGGTTTACTAACTTTTCTTGAATTTTGCTTACACATGAAAGGAGTGAGATCGGACGAAAGTTTGATACAAGGGAGTTTTTTTCATTCTTCGGTATTGGTATGATTAGTGAGTGTCTCCAAATCTGCGGGAGATAACCGCGATCCCAAACTTGGTTATACAATTGCAGCAGGACCTGTTTTCCTTTATCAGGCAAGTTATATATCATTTCATAGGATATGCCGTCGCTGCCCACTGCTGACCCTTTTGGATGCTTTTGGAGTATATATTCCACTTCTTGTTTCCCAAATGGAGTATTATAGTTACTCTCATCTCCGTGGCATTCATTTGGTTCATCTTCCCAATTCGACAGTCCTTGAATGTTAGTGGAGGATACCTGATGGAAATGTTTTGCTAGTTCTTCAGCAATTTCGTCTGTAGCAGTAATTATTCTTTGGCCAATCCTTAAACCAGATAGCTTTGTCGGATTAGGAATTCCCCTTATGCTTCTAATTTTATTCCATAGTTCCTTTGTTGAAGTATAATGGTTTATTGAAGAAACAAAATCCCTCCACGATGCCCTTTTACTCTCTTTGATTGTCCTATTTGCAATGGCTCTTAATCTTTTAAACTCTATAGCATCGCGTAGAGTTCTGCTTTTTCTGTACTTATTGAGAGCACGTTTCTTGGATTTAACAGCTTCTTGACAATTTTTATTCCACCAGGGGACTGTTGTGCGAGTCGATATTTTTGACACAAATGGAATTGTTTCATGAGCAGCCTCTAGTATTGCTTGGTTAAAACTGCTAATATTAAGATCAATATTGTTTTGATCTTCATATACTTCTTCAAAGTAGTTTTTTACTTTTTCTTGGAACGCTGTCCAATCAGCCTTCCGGTACTGCCAATGACGGTTCTTCCTTTGAGATATCTCACATCTCATCGTTAGGAGAATTGGGAAGTGATCGCTTCCGTAAAGGTGTTGCTTCGTTTTCCATCTAATTTTCGGTGCCAGCCCAACATCAGCGAAAGTGAGGTCGATTGAGGAAAACGTATTGCTTTTCGAGCAAAAATGTGTGTCTTCCCCCGTGTTCAGGAGAGTGATTATCGGGTCATTCTCTAAAACGCTTTTTATTTTTTTACCCCTATGTCCAAAATCAGCTAATTTTGAGCCCCAGGCTATATCATTAGCGTTGAAGTCACCCAATAAGAGGTAGGGTCTGGGTAGTTGTTCAACAATTAGCTGAATGTCGTTGGTTGTGAACGGTTCCGCTGGTGGGATATAAATGTTACAAATGGTAATTGGTTTATTCTGATAGATTCTGATAGCTAATGCTTCTAAATGTGTGTTTAGAGGTATTTCCTCAACAAATATATCATTTCTTACAAATGTTCCCACTCCTCCCCAAGACTTTAAGGATCCTTTTCTATCGTTTCGGTAAACATTATACTCTTTTATTCTTACTGTTTGGGTTTCATTAAAGTGAGTTTCTTGAAGGCAGAAACATATTGGATTCTCTTCTTCAATCAACTTCTTTAAATATTCTATGTGACGGAAGAATCCGTTACAATTCCACTGGATTATTGTGTTCATTTAGATTTGGAGAATTTTGCTTTTTTTCTAGGTTGCTACATTTACCATGTGATATCTCTAAAAGTTCATTGTTGCAACTTGTTGGGTTCTTCATGTATTGTTCGCTAAGATATTTGATGAGTTTAGATATTCTCATCTTTATTCCTCTATGTGTGGTTAAGTCCCTCACATCTGAAAGCAGTTGCTTCAAGCCATTTACGTCATTTGTAAATTGTATTACGATATCGTTAGCGTTTACTTGGTTTTCTCCCTGAGTCATGTCCAATAGTAAGCATAGTTTCTCAAAAGTTAGGGGATAAGTGCGTTTTTTCTGTGTGATTTTGTTTCTGATTGGTTCAAGTATGTACGTAGAAGGGTATTTGTTTTTTTGTGTTTTGCAATTAGAATCTTCTTTGTTTTTTTGTCCATTCGAAGTGGCAGCGGTCCCAGCTTGTAAACATTGTTGTTTTTTACTGCCCCTATTGTTAAGGAGAATATTTGTCTTGGTTTTTGCAACTTTGCTAAGGGGAACTATGTTTACATTGTTCTGTTGCTGGTTTTGATCGTCGTTCTGTGGACTTCTTTCGACAGTGAAACCGTGGGTCAGCGTTTTCTCGTCGTTGGGTCTATTGGGAAGTACGGTGTCTAAGCCTTCGTCAATAGTGGCCTGTCCATTACTACTTGTCTGGTCGTTCTCTGGAATGGGTTTAATTATCAAGGTATCGATACTAACTGGTGTTGTGAGTATGTTTGAAGTTGGTCCAAATGCAGTTGGGAGATGTGTTTTCCCGATAGCTATCGAATTTCCTCCCTCGGGCATCTCTCTTTGCAGGCAGTTTGCTGCAAAGTGTCCGGGTTTTTTACAAATATAACAAACTAAGATGTCTTCCGCGAGATAAATCCGATTACTGACACCCTGATACGGAAATGTTAGCGAGTTGCTCAACTTACCTACATCTTCGGCTGCTATAAACACTTGTCGTCGAAAAGTCATTATATGACTAAGACTTTTTTCCTTGTACCCGATAGGCATAAAGGTTATTGGGGATAATAACCTAATCCCAAGTTTCTGAATTTCGAGCTCTAAAACTGTTTGTGGTACACTAGGGCAAATATTGGAAATAATTATACGCTTTCCTGGATCAACTAATCGCTTGATAGGTATTGTATTATCTCCTACCTTCATATAACTGTGACTCGCAAGAAGCAAATCGACCTGATCTTTGCTACCTAAATGGAAGCAGAATCTGTTTCCAGATATTCGAGAAGCATACTTAATGTGAACGGGATTTATTAACTCAGCTAATGCTTCTATGTATTGCTTCTGTTTAATCCCTTTAATAGTAGGAACGATAATGGCATACTCACGATGCGAACATTGCAGATGGGACGCTATTCGAGCATACGTTGCCCGGTCTGGTTCTTGGGCATTACACTTCACGGTTTTGTTTGAGGCATTCAGTGTACTCATTTGAGAGTATTGGTGTAAACCAGGTGTCTCAGACTTTTCCTCAGTGTCTGAATCATCAGTATAAGTCTCCATTTCCAAGCTCCGCGGAATGAATGTCTATCCGATCGAAAAAAGTTTCTCCCCGGTCCTGCAGCTAATCCGTTGATAGGAGAGACTGGCTATGATCAATGTTAATTGAAGATATTCTTTTTCTACTCGTTCATTCGCTTCTTTTTTCGAAGAGGGAATATTTCCTTCCGGATAAACTTTTTAAAGTTGTTCTTTTTGTTTTCCGGTACTTCTTGCTTTCTATATTTTCGTCAAGAAATCGATCGATATCGAGTTATTTTAATTTTAATATAGATTGAATTTTTAAAGTTATTTACTTTTTCAATCGATCATATGAATTGAAGTTATAATTGTTATAACAACAATAGTTGTTATTGTTTCCTAAATATAATTCATTTGAAAATTAAACTGACTTACTCAAATCTTATTCGTAATAAGAACCGCACTGCCTATTAGATAACAAATTCATATTTTTTAAAGTGATATTTCAAGCTGTTTTAATACCTAATATCAGAAGCCAAAAAATTTGATTTCAACTAAATAATAATCTTATTACATCATTCCATCATTCTATTCAATGCAAATTCAGTTATATTTCTGTATATTATGTAACCTGTCAAAACAAAATATATATGTTTATCATAAATATATTTATAATAGATACTGTTTATATAAACATATTCAGCATTCACTGTGAAAAGTCAGTAAAATTTATAAACTTATTAATTAATTTTAACTTTGATATTTAATTTTTAATTTAAATGTATAATCGTTAGCTGGTTGGAAACGTTGGCTTTCAATAAAATAGTTTTATCACTATTTAGCCTATTTATGACCGCAACCCCGGACCATCTCCTTCCTTTAAATATATAATCATTTTTGAGCAAAATTGTTATATACATATGTATATATATATTTAGAGTGTTATTAACCAATAATTACATTTGGTCCGACCATATCGGTTGGTGCCATTAATAATAAGTAATTATTACTCTCATAAGAGTGTATTTTATTTTATTTAAAAGTACTTTATTTTTTACTTATCTTCTGTACTCTCCTCTCTATGTGCATATGTATATTTATATATGTATGTGTTTTTTTTTCTTTTTCTGCTGGTAATCTATTCTTATTTTTTTATTTTTTTTTTTTGTAGCACTAAAATTGGTTACCTATAAAACTTATTAACATTTCTTTCCAATTTCATTTAGTTAAAAGTATGTTGTTGTTTTTTGCACTAATATTGTAACCGTTGTACCCATCCGCTTTCCTTAATATACCCTCCAAAACTATGTATATCCTCATTTTGTTACTTAGATTGTAGTTACTCTTTATTATAATTGGTCATCTGGCCAGATTTATTGTCAATTGGTTTAAACAATATTGTTATTCTCAAGGGACCTAGTCCCAGAATAAAGATGATTTTCTATTAAATTTACTTTATAAAGAAAAGAGATATAATTTTTCAATTATTTTACAGGATTTGGGAGCAACTTACCAAAATCCCCGGAAATGAATTCTGTTGTGACTGCAAACATGCAGAACCCAGATGGGCCAGTATCAATCTTGGGATAACATTGTGCATAGGTATTTTTATTTATTTATGTCTTTCAGGCAATTTTCACTAACAATATCCTTAAAATAGGCCTTGTATTTAATAAATACACATATAACTAACTCTTGTTGTGATAAAAATATAACCTTAACGCTGATAACAGCCTTTTTCATAAAGAACTCGCTCTTACATTGTTTCTTCAAAGAAAATGGAACAGACCAGACTAACACCATATATCCTTTCAGCTGTTTACCTTTATGACAATCTTTAAATAAATCACCTAATATTTAAATATGCTTTAAATGGCTGAAGCAAGTCCAGGCGATTCTCTCGAATCTCAGTCTAAACAACTCAAAACCGTAGCAATTCTAGAATTTTTTTGTTTACATTTATATTTTGTAGCTCATTTTATTTATTGAAAATCTTACTTATAAGATTTGAATATGCATGTCTAGATTCTAATAAATTGAAATGTAATTGTTTTTAATAAAAAAGATAGGTTAGCTGCTTATCTATGAGATAAATCATAGTTCAGTATTCTTGCCTAGCCAACTAAGGAGTTAGGTACTTTTTGCCAAACAGGCCGGCACAGACTGCTATCTGCCAATGTTTATAACCTGAACACTGATAATTCCGATAACGCAGTGATAAGCCTTCTACTTCCTATCTTCGTATTATTGTATTATATTCGTATTATTGAAAGTGTAAATAGATACAAAAACAAATGTAATAACAAAAAAAATACTTTTATTTTACGACACATATATTAATGAAATAATAAAAAAACACTTTAAGAAGATATGTACATATAAAACATCAAAATAAAATAATAAAAAAAAACACTTGGAGAACACATGAAGATATAAAAGATGAAAATGAAATAATAAAAAATTTAAAGAACATATTTTTACATAAAAAAGAAAAAATGTCAACACTATAAACAACATATGTACAATTTATTTTCACTTTGTCTTATTTATTTTGGAAGGAAAAATTGTTTTATGCTATTTAAAATAGTGAGGAATGGGTCCTCTTCTCTGCGAACCCGTCGCCACAAAAATTCGCATCGTTCATCGTTGTTAAGTTATGGGACCACCCATAAATCAATTTTAAAGCTGTTAAAAACGAAATCCTCGAGCTCTCCAACCATGTTCATTTCCTTATTGAAAGTTTTGTGTCACAAGTCCTACAACAGCATCTCCATTTGGCATTCCTGGTTAACTTCATTCGATGACCTCGTTTACACATTTTCACCTCTGCAAGTATCCTAACATTTTGAAAATATTGAATTGCCTATTCTTCTGAAGACGGCAAATCCCATATTCTAAGAAGATCCATAATATGACAAAAACAAACGAAAAAAAAAAAAAGAAAAATAAATACAAACGTGCCAAAAGTTAAGAAGTTAATAAGTGAACGTAATAAAGGAATAACTGAAAACTAAACAATGCAATAACTGAAAGGTTTGGCGGTATAAGAAGAGGGAGGTTATGTGATGTGATGTTAGATAAGATAGATAAGAAGTGAGTTTTCATGCCGGATTGCTAGTCAAAAAGTACCGGAATTATGTAGTTATTTCTTCAGGCATCATATTTTGGCTGTTATGATAAAATTTGTTGTACTTTTTGATGATTAGTATATGTTAAAATTACAGCTTTTAATAATAAATAGTTAAATTAAATTGGCTTAAATCATATAGGCGAACAATTGAAGGGAGAATTTTGTGGGCAGAAGATATACTGAAGGAGAGAAAGATTTCTCCCTTTAAATACTTTCAGATAGCTTGCTAACATATTGCTTTATCGTCAAATACATCATGAATTTTTTTTTAACATTGTAATTTGATATAAATTCTTTCATTCACATGCGCTAATTTCTAATTTGATTGTTATTTTAATAACAAAAGATTATTCCTAAGCATATGTCCACTAAAAGAAAAGGTTTTCTCTTAAGTATAGCTTAATAATCAACTATGAATAAATAATTATTTTCTCTGATATTTAATTATCTTTATTACAGACTGTTCTGGTGTGCATAGGAGTCTCGGTGTTCACTACAGTAAAGTAAGATCGTTGACATTGGATGCTTGGGAACCGGAAATCTTAAAAGTGATGGCTGAACTTGGGAACACAGTCGTCAACAGCATCTACGAGGCTAATCTGCCCGAAGATATTGAAACACCTGGCGCTACATCTCCGGGGTGAGTTATTATTTTATTTTTTAGTATTTTTGTATTGAAGTAAGATGGTTTCTCTTCTTTTATTATAAATATGCATTGGAAAATTTTAATTTTTGCTAAAAAGTAAATGAATAATAAAAATAAAATAAGATATTTTTTAGGCTATTAGGTTTTCAAATTTACAATATAAATTATAAAATAAATAGCTTTATTTTTTAAAAAAAGAAAAAAAGAGTGTGGATTAATATAATTTTTGTGAAATGATATCGTTAATGCCCGAATCTACGCATTTTATTTTTCTCCCGTTTATTTTTTTTCTCACCATTAACCCCTTTTAAATTTTAGTTAAATAAAATGTTTACAATGTTGGACATCGTGGAAGGTAACCTCGTTGAAAGCAGAACCTCCAACTTGTCTCGTTTTTTTGTTTTTTTATTCTCCATCATCACGAAAGACAGTAAATTATTTTAATTTTTTTCTTCGCTAAATTAGTTGTTTTTTTTTTAGTTTTTCTAGACGTTAAATTGTATTTTAGTTATTTTTTTTTATTACTGATTTACATTTTAGAAGTTGATTTCTTTTTCTGCTTTATTAATAAATGTTAATTTGGTTTTATGTTCAATGAATATTATATTTTGTGTTTTTCATTCATTTCAGTGAACTTCATACTACTCTTTATTTTGTTTTTCAGCTTTTGTATAAATTTATATCTCTTTTTTTTATTCAATAAATTGTAAACATTTAGAAGGGGATTTCTTATTTGTTTATCTTAACATATTTAATTAATTGAATATTTTTTATTTTTTATGTTTTACAGGTCTCATATCCACTCCTTTTATTTTTCCTTCTTTCCTAACATTTAATTTTGCTCGAATTTTCTCACCTTTGAGGAAACTCACCGGGGAAGGGTTTGTGTTTTAATTTTGAAATATCCCCGGCCCCAACAGATATTGTTTAATATGCGATAAAATGGTCATTTTGTATTTTATATATATTATTCTATTTTTTAACCTAAAAACAAATAAAATTATGAATTTACTATTATGAAGTCTTTCTTCGGGATCCCCAAATTCAAATATTGTTTTTCATCTAAAACTGAAATTCATAACTCGCTTGTAGAAAAGTAAACTTTAGACTTTAGGGTCCTCCATTTAAGACTAAAATCGACACTACGACAACTTCACTCCACTCTGCATCATTTGATGAATTGATAATTCATAATGCAGATAATAATGTCTTCAGCCATAATAATAAATTATATCTACAGCCATCAAATACTTTTCTTTTGCATATTTTCTGCTAAAAATAAAAAGTAGTATTTGTATTATTTATATGTTTTTTTGTTAACATTTGTTTAAATTTTTTTAATGTATTTTCAGCTTAAATGCAATTTATTTTTTAATATGTTTAAAAAACATCAATTTCACACATTTACAAGACTTGTTCCATGAGTCTCTTGATTTTATTCATTTAAGTAATCTTAGTTTTATGTTTAACTTGATTTTCAAAGAAATTCAACTTTTACTCGATTAGCAAAACATAAATTTTATTTGTTTAACATTTTTAATAATTTTGAGAAGAGGCAATATCATAATCAATGAAGTTCTACTTAGGTACGAATATTAATAGTTTAAAAGTTTTAAAAATATTATGGTACTTTTCTCTAATCAATCTCATCTTCTTATTGAAGTTTACTTTTATAATATTTTACAGTTCAGTACGTGAGGCATATATAAAAAGGAAGTGGGTAATAAAAGAATTTGTGACTGGGCTATCTCTTTCGCCGTTGCGGTGTAAGAGGAAGTGGTCCGTGAGGAAGTTGAGGAGAAGGGCCAGGTCCGGAGAAGGACGGTCACCACCTCCTGGGCTCGCTCTCGTCGGCGAAGACTTCAATTCTGCTCCTCTGTTTGCTTGTATCGAGCTCAGTTCCGGCGAAGAGTCTACCGAGGGTGAAGATTCAAGCACTGGTAATTATCTAACTAAATGTTACGGGAATTGAGGATGTAAAATAGTTTTATTCAAAGAAAATAATGTCAGAGTGGCAATCAGAATAAGTTAAATGCATGGAAAAAAATAATTGTGTAATATATATTCCAATACTTAAGAACATATATGTGGCATTGGTGCGCAGTTTGTTAAGTGCAAAAATCATGTTTTTGAAAAAATTCCATTAAAAGTTTGGGTTTTTCAGAGGTATAAGTTCAATTTTCAAGTTTCAACTTATTAACAAAGGCATGATTTACAAAGAAATGTTCATCTCTGTAATTGCCGCATAACTTAGTCCATAAGACACAAAGAAAGAGAGAAAAATTAGCTTTCTTGTGACAGCTATTAACAATAAAAATTAAATTAAAGTTATTTAAAAAGAGAAAGTTTTAGTTAATTAAAAAAATTAAAAATTAGTTAAAATTTTAATTCACTAATTTACTTTGCATTTTTCTGGTCTCTGTCAATCATAAGTGAAATTATTGAAAACCTTTTGTGACAATATCTGTTTTTGTCTATTCATTAGTTCTTTGCTATATCTCTGTGAATATTGGTCCTATTAAGATTATTTTATTATGTTTAGTTTTGTAGAAAAATTAATTATCTATCAAGTAAGCAAGTTGAGATTTATTTGTTTAATATAAAATTTTAAGTTATTTGATGAATTTTGTTTTATTTTAAGTCAGCGAAGAGGATATAAGCAAGCTGTCTCCATCTCTTCTATTATACAAAGCTTCTGCAGCCCATAACATTCCAGTGATGCTTCAAGCGTTGGCTTTAGGCGCTGATAAGCTGTGGGTGAATCCGGAGCAGGACGGAATGACTCATCTTCATCAGGCGATTAATAGCGTAAGACTGATACCTTAATAAATAAATGAACAGTTTTTAGACTGTAGTATTAAACTGTGATAACTTGATATCCATAATCTATAGAGGCCTTTGGAAAATCCTATTTTTAGAATATTTGTTTTCCTACACATGAATAAAGCCTGCGTAATCTTGCAGCCTGATATAATTTCGCTCTCCTAGCAGAGGGGTTTTCAATTTTGGTTAAAGCACATCTTATTGTTGTATAATAATGCAGAGCATGTGTTGAGATGTTCTCCTGTCATAATATCCAAAGACAGAGGACGGGTCAGGCTATCTGTTTTATCAATTTGGTGGAGGCGATTCAGCAGGAAATCATCCCCTGTTTAAGTAAAGTTATAGATTTAAAGTAAGTTAAAGATGCATCAACTATTTCCTTTTTTCCTTAGCAGTAAACTGTGATTTTCATAAGACCAGTTTGGTAATTTCTAGATATCCAACTAGAAACTTTGTTTCAACTAAAACTTTAATAAATTTATTTATTAATAAATAATAAAGCTGAATAATTTGTTTGTTTTTACGCACTAATTTATAATAATAGTTGTCCAATTCAAAATTCTATTGACAAGTCCAATTCTATTCTATTCAGTTTTTTAATTATAAAAATAAGACAAATAATATTTCTTCTATTCATTAAAATATCCTAACTTCTTAGAAAAAGTTTGTATTTTTCGCTTAAATTTTATGATTCATTATTAAGTTTATTTAATTGCATTGGTTTATTATTTTATATTGACATCATATGTTGGTTTTAGGGCTCAGTTATGGCTTGTGAGTATCTCTTGCTGAATGGTGTTCCAATTAATGCCCAGGACAGCAACGGTAGGACTCCGCTTCATCTTGCTGTAGAACTAGGTAATTTTTAAATTATTTATTGTAACGTAGTTCTTAAACAGTTGTAATACTACCGAGCCTCTTAATATCGAACTTGCAGGTTCCTTGAAAGATAATCGTGATCTATGAAAATTTGGGCATATATAATTTAAAAAGTCCATATTTCATCGTTTGCATACATAGGTATGTATTTCATATTATGATTCAATTTTGATACTATGTTGTCACAAAAGTGTTTGTGCATGAACACAGCCCTTAATTCCGACTCTCATAATTAATCCTTTTTCTTGTCCCTAATATTTATGTCAGTGTTTACTTTAACTAATCCAATAATTCCTTGTGATTCGAGTTGGCTTTATGGGATGATTTACATTTTTAAAACGCATGCGCTGCGTCATTATAAAAAGTTGTTTGATTGAGAAAATGCTTTGTGTTTGGAACTTCGATGGCGTCTTTCATTTTTGAGCTTATTCCTGATGGTTGCTCAGTGGATTCAAATCTTTACTGTGAACAGCTGGATATACTTTATATATTTTTGAGTGTAAAGTATCTGCTTTGGTCAAAAGGAACCGCGCCATTTTGCAACATGACAATGTCCCTGCAATCGTTGACATGACAATCCCCCTGTACATCGTTCTCGTTTGATCAAGGAAAATTTTTCTGGAACTGCAAACATTGAATGTTTTCTCTCATCCTGCATATAGCCCAGATATTGCACCATCTGATTATGGTTTGTTTAGATCAATGACTCAATTGGCTCATTTTTAAGTCAGATCTTTGATTATTACAAGGACATAAAAATAGATGTGAAGAGCTCTTTGCCTCAAAACCAAAGTAGTACCGGCATCAAATCCAATTACTGGCAGAAAGATAGGCGGAAGTATTTGGAAACAATGGACATTACTTTGAAGAGAAGTATTTGATAATGTTTAAAATGTGTAATATGAAATAAAGCTATATTTATGCACAAAGACTTTTGTAATAATATAGTAGTTAAAAAAGTTATTGTTTTAAGTGTCTAATCAAGAGGTCTAATGAAGAAAAAAAATTCATCGGAATCAACCAGTATTTGAAATGATACAGCATATTCTATTTTCTACACATTTTTTATCTTATTACTTTCCTATCGCTAATAGGTAAGGAATGTATTGTAATTGATTCAAATATCCGATGTGCGGTCTTCAAAGGATCTTTTACACTTCATACCTCCCGAGTCCAAAAAATACATTATCAGCCCATTTTTTGAAAAGTTATTAATTTTCCATCAAAACTAAAAATAAAAATAAAAAAAAACGCTACAGATTATTTCACAATGGTTTATTATTTCCCAATAATTATACATCTAAAGTAACATTACCTTCCTAGTGACAAATTAAAAGAAATAAAAAGTTAATTCCAATTATTTGCCTAAACATTTTTTTTCATCATTAGTAATTTGCTGAAAAAAAAAAAATAGTATTACTTCAATAACACATTCAAAAATCAAATTCCAAAACAAAAGATTTGCAGTAGAACATAAAAAACATCTAGATCATATCTTTGCTCCTAATTGTCCAATTTTAACAATTTGTTTTTTAGGAAATTTCTTGAACTTTTAAAAAACCATATACAATATCAACAAAAAAGTTTATACTTTTTAAGTTATTAAGAATCTAATTTTACCATCTCTTGTAACTTTTTTTCCAGCTTCCTTTCGTTGAAGTATGTTATATAGATAAATTTAAAGGGTGTTGAGAAAATGACTTTAGCCAAGTTTCATTGAAATTGGTACATTCGGTGCTACAGTCTATAGCAACGTAGGTTTTTTGGCTGCCATTTTGAAAGTAAAAGGCTTATAGTAATGTCAATGAAGGAGGATCATCGGGTGACTTCTAATTATAAATCCATATTTGAAAAATGTGTTTAATCAATTTGCAAAAGGCTTTGTAACGCTGTTTTGGGCGAATGGCTGGGTCAATTTTCATGTTAGCTATATTATATTATTTAGTCAGGTCCAGTGGGTGTGAAAGTGAAACGACATGAGGGTCATGTGTTCGCGGTGTCTGCTAAAAGGTTTGTAATGCTGTTATGAGCGAACAGCTGGGTAAATATTTAAGTTTGATATCTTACATTATTCAATGAGGTCCCATGAGTGTTTTGAAACAATTTCAGTTAATAACACTGATTTGTAATTGAATAAAATGTGTTTAATCAATGTGCTAAGAGGTATGTAACAATTTATTGAGCTTACCTTACACCTGAAACAATTTTTTCTGTTTGATATCTTGAATTATTCAGTGAGATCTCATGAGTATTTTGAAAAAATTTTAGCTAAAAATCTTGGCAAATTACTGTGTTAAGTGTGTTTAATCAATCCGCTAAGAAGTACCTAACTATTTTTTGAACGATTGGCATGATCAATTTTTAACTTTGACGGCTGTAATTACTCAGTTAAATCCTGTAAATATTTAGAAACGATTTGAGCTCAATTCAATACTGAAAACAAAAATTGATTATAGTTCAAGTATCTGTTTTGAAATGATATCATGTGATCATATGTCATGAAAATGAATTGTTAATATTTTAAAAACTAAACATGTAAAAAGAAAAAAATAATATTTGAATTAAAAAAAAACACCTTAATACAGAAATTGGGGAAGTTTATCCACCTTAAGAGAACGTACTTCCATATTTAGTTAAACATCTTTATAAATTTATAGAGTAATTCACATCTACGAATATTTAAACGTGGTGTAGTAGTCAGGTGTCTTAACACATCCTGAACAAAACTCAAGGCTCTTTCGGATGTTGACATGCACCGATACAAGAGATGAAATCTATTTGTCTGGAGCCGTAATGTGTAGTGAGTGATAGGCACCCGACTATTACACCTAGTTTAAATTGTAGTTTATGTCAATTTCCTTATCAATCTACCAAGAAGTTCAAGTAGTTATGGAAATTCATTCTCTTGAGGTGGATAGAATTTCCCAATTTCTGTAGTCGTTTTTTTTTTTTTTTGTTTTTTTTAATTGACATATTTAAATTTTTTAAATTTGTCTAAAATCAGTAGGAGAGTCGTGTGAGTGGACACACAAGATTTTTTTATACTGTTGTTTTTTTATATAAATTAAAAGAAAATTTCAAGTACTAGTATATTTTTTTTTATCTTCATATAGTATAATAAGATATTTCATGTTTTGTTATAATGTTAATTTTCATTTATTTGTTACCATGTTATTCTCATAAGTTTACAGGTCAACATGACCTTTAATAAAAACAACTTTATTTTTTGTATGTTTGTGAACTTTTTGGTTGACTCATTTATTGGATACTTAATAGTTTACAATTTGTATAATGAGGAAAAACGTAGAATGAAAACAAAACTTAGGTTTAATAAATCTTCAACCTTCTCACCTTGGTCACTGTACATTATAACATTGAACGTCAAACATTTAGTGTTATTAATTTCTCTCTGTTTCTTTTATGTATTTTTGTGTTATAATAATACTTTTTGTAGGTCATACAGCTCAAGTATGTCTCTTATTGAAGCATAGGGCGAATCAACATATAAAGGATGTAGAAGGCGTTGAGGCATTAGACATCGCTATCAGAACTGCTCATGCTGATATAGTCACTCTGTAAGTTACTTATAACCTCCTTGGTAATTTTGTTTTTTACTTATTTCTTATGTTTCTTACATATTTTGTCCAGTTTGCGCTTGGGTCGACTGAATGAAGAAATGAAAGAGTCTGAGTCTGGAACAGGTGATGATACCTTTAATGACGTGGTTAGAGATTTTTCCCAACTAGCCTTCAACTCGCCTGTTCGTAACGATGAAAATAATGGAGGGGGATGAAGAGAGCATTGTGCTGTCATGTAGACAGGCCAGGTAATACCTAATTATATGCATTTATTCTTATATACAACATATACTCTATATCTGTAATCAGTTGAGGCCATTCTGGCAGTGTATGATAGAGCATACCTCACGTTAACATCCTCGAGTCTAGTGGTAGCAGTGCTAATCTGACCTGAGTAGGTTGAAATTTATTTGGTGGCCGAAGCACATTATGATTAGGTTTGGTTGTACCTATCTAGAACTACTTTCCTCTAAGTTATGGTTTAAAAAAATAATTAAAAATTAAAAAAAGGAAAGTAATATCAAGAAAACTGACTATCCAAGCTCAAATTTATTATCTAGAATATCTACACTAATATTTGAGATTAATTTTTCTCAAAAAGTTGATTTTTTTTTTAACCGTAATTGCTAGATTCAGAAATGCTGAATCGGCAAATGATATAAGAATGACCCATATATTATAAATATTTCGATTAATTCAATTTATTTTAGATACAGAAAGTTGTTTAATTAATAATATTACAGATCTACTTGTACGTAAATTAATATTTGATAAGAAGTTAATTTTATTTTTATTTTTTTATCAATTATAGTTCAGTTGATAAAATAATTAAGCTTCAAAATCCTGAGAACCGTTTAGTTTTGAATGGAAATTTAATAAACAAAACTTCTCAGAAAAAAAGAGTAGGTAGCACATCTAAAAACATTTTCTTCAGTTTGACTCTAAAATTTAATAAGAAAACCATAAATAGTGAAATTTGTTTATTGTGAAATAATTTTTTTAAATGTTTTTTTATGGCTCACTATTTTATTTTATTACCATCTCTCACTATTTGGTTGCATATTTAGTACTTTTGATAGCATATTGTACTGCTTATCATTTTATTGCAAAAACTCATTAAATGATATTTAATTTTTTTAAATTAATAAGAACTTTGATGAATTTTCCTTTTGTGAAATCAGAAAATGATGAGCTTTTTGTAATATCTAAAAAGGATTTGCGTCATTTTAGTGTATTTAATATATTTTTTATTGATAAACAAAATTGAAATTAATTAAAACGTTCTTGAAAATTCTACTTCATCAATAATGTACTTCATGATTTTCTGCAATAAACCGATAATATTGTAGCGGCATAATCTTACTGCCTGTAGAGTATCCCTCACCTTCGTTTCCAGTTGGAAGTTTGGTAAACAATAAAAATAATTCTACAGTCGATAAATAATTGAATTAACATCTGGTGTGATGATGACAAAATAATAGAGAAGGTTATATAGACTGGAATTATCTGTGTGCATTAAAAATTATTTCTTTTGATGCCACTACGGTCCTTGCAGAACCCCGCCCCTCTCCACCGTCTTCAGGTCTTCCTCCATGTCTTCCAGCCACCACAGTCTGGTACACCCTCTTCTTCGTCCTCCACCAGAATGTTCCTCCAGAAGCTTCTTCAGGATACGCCGCTCTTCCATCCTCTGTAAATTCCCCTGCCACCTAATTCTACACTTCTTGATGCAGGTGAAAGTCAATATCTGGGGCCTTGTATCGATCACAGAGCTCCTGATTGTTTCTCTGCCTCTATCGATCTCCCTCCCTCAAGGGGCCAAAAATCTTTCTCAGAACTTTCCTCTTCTTCTTCCACTCATTGAGCACTTGTTCTGACTTCCTGGTGGGGACCTATTAAAAATTATTTAGTGTGTGTTATTATCTGCTGATTTTTCTATCTTCCTTCATTTTTACATTACATATTTTGTATGTGACAGACTGGAGGACTCATTATTTTGGTTTTATTTTATAAGAAGAAATTTTTCAGTTATTATTTTGTCAAAATTTAATTTATTCTTTTTTTGTAATTAAAAAAGGTACTAAGATATTTTGTATTATTATTTACAAACAACCTGCCAAAATATTATAATTTTTAAGCCATATTATATGAAACATTTCAATGGATTTTGTTGCATATAAATGCGGACATTAATTATTGCATATGTTTCTGATTTGTTTCAGGTTGTCAGTACCTATTATTATTGATCTGATAAACTATTGAGGGAACTTGCTGTTATAAAACTTCTGTGCCAAAGGCTGATTCAGCAGATATTTTATTGCCATCCTAAACAAGGGATATGTACCAAAGGCTTTTTATATGTTTTGTTTTTGTTTTTTAAATATTTTTTTAACGTGTGTCTTTCTTCGTCTTTTAATGATTCACGCGCAGGGATAAAATATACCGGTAGCATTAAAAGTTAAGTGCTCTCATTTCAGCACTTCTTTGTTGTGATAATCGCCTTGACAACATTCAATTTTATTAGCTTTATTTAGATTTTATTATTTTTAGTGCTGACTTTTTTTTTACTGACAATTAAAATTTTCCTATTTTATCGGCCATTATGTTTTACTTGCCTTAATGGAGCGGTTCCTAACCTTTTTAATTATAGCTCTTGCATCATCTAGAAAAATATTTTTCTTCATTTAAGAAATTAAATCTATCAAAAGATTTTCTTCTTCAAACCACCTCGTTAATGTTTGCACTTGGAATATACAAAAGACGTGCACGTATCCATCAGTTATTGTATTAATAGCAAATATTACAGTAGTGTTTATTCACAAGCGAACAAATTGTAGTTTTCATTAAAAAAAAAGTTAGAAATTTCACATGGTTAAGAACCGTTACCTTAGTGTATTTTGTGTCATAATTTAATATAATTACTTCTTGCCTTTGAAAGCCTTGCCCAATCAAAAGACTGTAATATTACTGTCAGGGTTATATCTTAGTGTGTACATGACGAATCCCGTTTTAATGTTGTTAACTCTTAAAATCGGTTAAGTAACTTGTGTTTTTTAAATTTTTTTTTGTTATTATTATATAAGGCATTGGTATCTTAAATCAAAAAAATCGACTTTTGTTTTTATTACCAATATTCCCAGTGGATTATTTATAGAGAACTTTCAACGAAATGTCGGTTGTGGTATTTTTCAAAATAATTGCTCATCAAAATAAAATAACACAACAAAAATAAACGGTTAACTACTTAGGCTTATTAAATATGTTATTAGTTGTAATTTTTAATGACATTCAAAAGATCTGCTTTGCTGTGACTCTTATTACTGTTATATTTCTAATATTTACTTTTCTTATATAAAGATGCTTTTTATGTCTTGATGTTGGAAATTATTTTTATTTTTATGATAAGAATTTAATGTTGATAGTGATATATATATTTTGATTTTTAAAACTATTGTTATTTTTTATAGTTTTAAATTGTTACTATCTATGTATTAAGTTTTAAAACTTTAAGATTAAAAATAATCAGTTTTGAAATTTGTTTGGATGTTATATCATGTTTATTTTCTTAGATATTATATATATATATATACATATTACTATTATGACATCACATAGCTTTTCAAAATGCTAAGGCTAGTTTTAGCAATGTATGAAAAAAGGAAATACATATATAACCAGATCTCATAATTCCTTATTTTTATCCTCCTTGTTGTGGTTCATTAATTCTACAAAGGGTACATTAAAATAAAATACCGTAGTACATAAAGAAAAAATACTAATAGTTAAACTTCTATTAACATTTCAGTACCATTTTTCTCTTGTTTCTCAACCGATATTATTTATTTTTTTTGTATCTCATAGCATTTGACGAGTTTTATTGTTATCAATTAATATTTTTTGAAAATAGTGTATATAAATTTAAAAAGCCTCTTATCTTCGAATTAAGTAAAAATCAGGAGTGTTTTAATATGCATTTTGTTATCATCCAGCCTTTCATTTCGATATGATGACTGAAAAACGTGTCACTATAGACTATACTGCTAAAACAGTTGTAACAATTTTAATGAAACTTGGCTAAAGTCTTCTTGAATCTCTTTTAATTTATTCTGGAAGGAGATGGTCCATGGTGGCGGTCATAATTAAGACTAAATAGTGGTAAAACTATTTTATTAAAAGCCAACGTTTCGACCCAACTTTGCAGGTCTTCTTCAGGGTGAGAACGGACAAGATACAAAAATATATAGAGAATTGTGGAATTTACATCATATTTAAATCAAAAACTATAAACAATTTAACTGCCACCATTCTCTATATCTTTTTGTATCTTGTCCGTTCTAGCCCTGAAGAAGACCTGCAAAGTCGGGTCGAAACGTTGGCTTTTAATAAAATAGTTTTGCCACTATTTAGTCTATTTATGACCGCCACCCCGGACCATCTCCTTCCTTAATAATGCAACAGTCAACTATTAAGTATTCAATATCTTTTAATTTATATATATATATATATATATATATATATATATATATATATATAGTTATTCAAAATAAATTTGTGAACCTATCATTACTTTTTTTTTCAATCCTCTTTTCAGGGAAGTGTGTTATATATATATATATAACACATATATATATATGTAACACATATATATGTAACACACACACACATATATATATATATATATATATATATATATATATATATATATATAACACTTTCCTGAAAAGCGGCTGAAAAAAAAAGTAATGATAGGTTCACAAATTTATTTTGAATAACTCAAAAAATATACAAATGATACTGAACTGTTTTGTATTGTAAGTACATATAAAAATGTATGTGCGAATATATAACAGTAGAATAAAAATGTTAGAATCTTGCAAATTGATTTATGTTTTCCTAAAATTTTCGATAATGATAATGGTTGAATTTACGACCACCGTGCTAACACTAGTTTTATTTAATGGCACATTTATTTTAAATTACACATCAAAATAAGTTAACTTATTTAGGTGTTTTTTTTTTTCTTTTGTGACCTAACAACTCAACCAACTTCTACAGTCAACGATACGTCGACCAGTAAGAGTATAAAAAGTTGTAATAAAACAAATTAATATGTATTTTTTAATGAAAAATTTTAACTATTAGGTACTTTTCTGTTATTGCCCCGCCAGTAAAATCTGAATTAAAAACATGGTGGAAAAAATTATTTATTGACAAGAAGAAAATCATTGTAAAAATAATGAATATCTTTTATAATTAAGGAAAATGGATCAGTCGCTCTAATTTTTTGGCACCACTTAAATTCTGTTAAATACCATACCAATCTAGTAAAGTTGTGTGTTCCACAAATTTTCTTATTTTTCCATTTAGCATAGCCTCACATTCTTTCTACTTTCTCAGTATTAGCAGAAGTTTCAGGGCCTGATATTAATTATATATTATTAGAATCTTATCATAAATTACCATATTACAATTTTGAAAAAAACTTAATTTTTTTATTGGCGGGGCAATAAAAGAAAACAACCAATTATAATTAGACCCTTCTACCATAAATGTGGCCGAGAGTCAGAAACCCCAGCTCTCGTGTTGGGCCATTGTCCGAATATCATCCTCTTAGTCACCGCCCGCACAATAATATAAAACATCGAATAGCTGAATTTCTTGAAATTATGAAATATAGATGTTTCCTCTAGGTTTATCGTCTGAATATGAAAAACTCAAGTAGGTTTGTCGACATTCTAGCGTTCAATGTGACGGGAAAGGAGCCACTGATAGTGGATCACATGATCAGATTTGAAACGAATGATCAGGATCAAGACTTTAAGAGTAAAGGCAGAGAAGGAGGATATTTATAAGAAATGCATATCTTAACTGAAGGGAAAAGTACAGAGATGAATTCGGCGAAAGAGAATACTTAGTTAAAGCGCTGTGGTTCGGAAGAGGCGGAACCATCCCTCTTAATTGCAGAAACTATTATTTTAGACTCATTGGGAATCCTTTATCACCACATATATTGATTGATCTTGGCTTTCGCTTATTTAATCCTGTATACAGTTCTTGTAATATACAATCCTGTATATTAGCTGTTGCAGTGGTCTCACCCAACTCTCTTATTTTTTTAAATATTATCTGTTGATTAATTGAATATGCTGTGTGATTTAGCATCTCAACAGACATGCATTATTATTGTAGTTCTCTCTCTTATTATAAATTAAATTAAAATATAAATTGGCTTGAGTAAGAATTTGTGTTAAAACACTCTTTTTAAATGAAATTTTAACTAATGTATTTTTTTTAAATAATTAATTTTCAATTTTTAAAAATCTAGCTGAAAGGCCGAACTCATTCCTTTATGGAAGCTACAATAAAGGAGACTGCCCCACACCACTAAATGCTGCCGAAAATAAAAACAGAAATATAAAACTTTGATCTACGTGTTATCTATATTATTCTTGATAGTAGCATAAATACATAGGAACTCTCACATTAGATATATATTCTTCTTTTCATAAAATATTCAAAATAAAAGCATTATCAGAGAAACTTGTTTATTTGTATAAATAATATAATCCAAAAGCCGTTTACAGGGTGTCACGTAAGTAGAAGAAAATTTTTATAAGAGTGATAGCAGACCACAAAATGAACAAAAAAAGTTCATATAAACAAAGAGCCAATTTTCAGCAGAAAAGTAGGAAATAATAGTTTTGTGTTTTTTAAAGTAGGTTAGGTTTTTTATTAAATAGAAAACGATAACTAAAGAAATATTTAATGTAAGTAATTGCTTCACTGTAAACTAGATAAAATTTACTTCATATGCCAATAGAGTTTTTTTATAGTTAAAATCATTCCAAGAGGATTTTTTAGCGACTAAACTAAGCCAAGTTCTGGTTTTAAAAACCCATAAATTATTTACTTTTTTTTTTTTTAGTATCATCGAACTATACTATAGATTAAAAAAAAAAAACTTGTTTAAGAAGTCCATATTAAGTTGAGGTTTATTCGGAAAAAAAATTGAGATTCGCCTCGATTTGGGTGCAAAAATGTGATTTTTTATACTGTTACTAAATGTAGCGGTGTTTTCAGAAAAAAATACTACAATTAACTGTTTAAAATCTTTTATTTCTTGTTTTTCTATCATTTTAGATGTATTGTAAAAAAATATAATTGTCCAAATACACTTTTTATTTTTTTTTATCATAGTTTAGTTTAGCCGCTCATAAATCCTCTTTAAATGCTTTTAACTATAATGAATTCTATTTTCATTTGAAGTAAATTTTGTCTAGTTTAAAGTAAAGCAATTGTTAATTACTTACATTAAATAATTCTTTTGTTACCACTTCCTATTTAAAAAAAAAAGCATGACTTCCTAAAAATGCACAAAACTTAGCTTTCCCTAAAATTGGTCCATTGTTCATATAAACTGTTTTGTAGCTGTTGAGGTATGTTATCACTCCTATACAAATTTCCTTCTACTTACGGGACTGATATAGATTTAAGTAACAGTTTACTTAATATGTAATCAGCTTGCTTCACTGAAAAATATACAATCAGTTAAGTAATAAGACATAAACTTACACTGATACACTATTGTATTGCCCAAGACATATGGGATTGGGGTAAAAGACCAGAATAATTGTTTTTTAGTTCTTTTGCTTATTGATAATAGAATATAGGTGGGCATAATCATAATCATCAATTATGATTGCAATGATCCAGTTTACAATTACGATTGTAATCAGGAAATCGTGCCACATTTTTGCTATATTTATAGTGCTACTGAATCAATTATAAAATTGGTACGGCCATTAAGTTTTATTTCCAGTTGTAATCATCTAACCATTGATTCTGATTTTTCCCATCTCTGAGATGGAATCATTTGGTGAATTAATAACAAAGAAAATTAAAATATGTCACAAAACCTGGCTGTTTTTATTAAAAATGTCCAATTTGAGGTTCTCAAGATAATCCAGGACAATTATTCTTTGTTTACCTTTTTAAAATATTTTGTAGTTTATCATAAACTATAATAAATAGCAATATTTTAATTTTAAATATCCTGACAAAACATCCGATAAGTATACAATGGAATTAAAGTGGGCCAATGCATATTCTCCAAAACAGTGAATTTTAAAGGTTTATTTTATGTACAAAATAAGCAGGTTTCAAAGTAGAGTAATGTATTTATGAAAAAAATGTTATCTGAGTTTCCTATGGAAATATATATTTTGGTTATATTATTTTAAGAGGTTTAATCCTTATTAACCAGGTCTACGTATATGTTTTTGAAGAGCCTAGCACAAATACAAAAAGGTGTATGAAACTGAAATCACCTTTAAGATATGCATATTATGAATAAATAGAAAATTTAACTTATAAAATTCTTGTCACTGTCTTAAGATAAAGTACAAATTATATACAAATAATAGTACACAGTTATTTAAGTACACTGGTTTAAAAAAATATAAATTTTTATACATAAAAT